AATATTTGCAACGTATATGGTAGACAAAGAGTTACTATCTGATACATTAAAAAAAAGTTCTTTTACATCAACAGGAAAAGCAGGAATTCTTTCATTGAAAAATAGGCAAGGAATACAAAGAGGCAAATTACAAAAGGAAAATAAACATAGAAGTTTAAATTCAGCTGTACCAGTGTCACACAATAAGTTCCATTTTTGGCTATTCAAATTGGCAAAGGTTAAAAACGGAAATGAATTCCCTGTGATGGAAGATTATGGGAAAGCAGACACTCTTCTGTTCTGCTGGTTCATCAGTATTTCTGTGTAGAGGATACAATAGTAAATGAGAAAGACAGACCCAGCCCCCACGGAACTCAAGGTCTGTGGCGAAAGCATCACAAACACAGATAGAAATAAAATAGGGTGGATTTTGGGTGTAGCTATCAGGTAGAACCCATATTCATTACCCAACTCTTCATCTGAACCCTGTGGTGTAGACATGGGCTAGAAATGCCAGAATCCAGTCTTTTGGAATGCATGCGGCATACAAGATATGTTTCCATAGTAGGGCTTCTCATTAAAACCATCCTACAGGTGGGGCCAGAACCAGGATTAGAGAATGGAGGAACACGTTTACTCTTTCTTAGCATTGAAAATAAAGAAACAAACAAGTGTAAAACTATTTCCACTTCTTGTTAAGAAGAGGAAACTGTAAATATTTATAATGTGATATGAAGATTAACCTGATGTGTTAGATGTTTTTAATTCCATGATCTCAAGCCAATTCTTCTCTTTAAAAATGACCTTCCTGCCATTTAAAGTAGTTTTAAACTGTCTACATCTTAACCCATTTACTCTAATTTTGGACTATATTCTAAAAAGTAATAATTAAAGAGAGGCTCAAAGTTGTATGTTTCTCTCAGTATTGTTTGTAATAGAAAAATAAAAATTAGAATACTCTACAACAACCTGAAAACTATTTAATAAAAGATTACTAGAAATAGTTAATACTTTTGTTTGCTAAGACTTTTTAATGAAGAAAAATGCTCTGAGCATATTTTACATAAATAAATGATTTATAAAATGGTATGTTTACTGCATCCAAATAGTTTTAAAATATATATATAATGATGAGAAAGACCAAATGTATGCATTAAAATGTTAATAGTCATTTCCCTGGATGGCTGAAATGCAAATATTCAAATATTTTGGCTTATATTTTCAAATTTCCTATACTTTCTAAAGTTTCTACAGAAATAATTGGGGAGGAAATGTATAATCCTTTCAAATTTTCCTTTTTGGAGTTATGCATGTCATTTAATTTCTCGAAATGATGAGGTACATAAATGATTACAATTTTTCTTTTTATAACCATGAATCATCAGGAAATCACGGTTAGAATTTTACTCTTTAATTTTAGTTTCTTGGTAGAAAAGTACAACCTGACTCCAGTAGTATCTGTTATGTTCATTTAGGAAACATCAAAGAGTACAATTACATCTCAGAACTGTGAGAAACTATCCACATTTCAGTGTTTAAGTGAGTTATTCCCAGGGGTGGTTTTGTGATGCCCCATGCTGTCATTTCCAATGACTATTTCTGATGTTATTTCATATTCCTCAAAGGATTATCACAATCTATGAACCATCTTTTGCCTCACCCACTCTTTAATCTTTCATATGTAATCTGTTGAAAGTTCTCTTTGATGCTTCTTTTCAAACCTATATGGTTATTTTGAATATTTTTTTGGAACATTTAAACTGCATTTTTAAATTTAATTCTTTTTAATGGCAAAATCAATTTCTGATCAATGTGGAAAAGTTAGAAAACACAGGTGAATCAAAAAAGAAAATATGTCTCATAATCCCACAGCCCAGAAAGGATGACTTTAAATCCCATGGTATATTTATGCCTTTTCTCATGCATAAATTTTCACTATACATCACACAAACACACATATTTTCACCAAATAGGATATTACGTATACATTTTGTCTTTCCACTTAGCAATATACAGTGAACATTTTTCCAAGTCAACAAAAATGTATCTACAGTATCATTTTGAAATGTTAAATGTATTCAACTATGTAATGTTTATCATTTATTTAATTCTCTAATAATAAAATTTTTAATTTTCGATTTTTAAATGTTTTTAATCATTATTGTCATAAAGTGCACTGCAATGAACAACCTTGTAGTTAAATTTGCATGTCATCTAGCTTGAGCTACATTTTATATATATATATGTTGGATGCCAACAAATTTATCAAAGCATAGTCACAATTCTCTCCTCTACATGTGATATACAATAAAAATCAGTATTTCTTTCTTTTTTTTTTTTTTTTTTGAGATGGAGTTTCACTCTTGTTGCCCAGGCTGGAGTGCAATGGTGCGATCTTGGCTCAACGCAACATCTGCCTCCCGGGTTCAAGCGATTCTCCTGCCTCAGCCTCCCGAGTAGCTGTGATTACAGGCATGTGCCAACACACCTAGCTAATTTTGTATTTTTAGTAGAGACAGGGTTTCTCCATGTTGGTCAGGCTGGTCTTGAACTCCTGACCTCAGGTGATCCACCTGCCTCGGCCTCCCAAAGTGCTGAGACAACAGGCATGAACCACTGCGCCTAGCACAGTATTTCTTAAATTAAAAATATATATATATGAGAATCTCTTTTAAAGAAAACATTTCTGCAGACCCCAATTTGTATTTAATTTTTTTATCAAGTGCCTTCTTAATATTTAGTAACATAAAGTAGGTATAAATTATTAATGTTTTACAGCTCTCTACAACTATAAAACCAAAATCAATTTACAAAATGGGTAAAACTTCAGGACCAATGCAATTCAAACAAACAGTTATTTAATATGCCAACTGGTGTTGTTTCGCTAAAAGTGAATTGCTGCTTGTAGAATGATGGCCAAGTTCACCTTCTACTAGGCAGACATGGAAGACTGTGTGTATCCTGTGACGGCTTTGTTCTCCACAAGCTTTTTTCAGCTTGAAGTATTGAAAAACATTCATTCCTAAGGCCACCTAAACACTGCTTAGCCTTCATTTTGCTGGTGTTCATCACTTGAGTGCTGACTGCCACTCACTCCCCAACCTCCATTAACCCAACAAAATAGTAGCACAACTTGACTTGGATTCCATCACCATCCTAAATATAAACGCAAATGTAGGCACTGAATTCACCAGGTTGTTCCTGGGTCTAAGGAGGTCATATAACCCAGGATATAGTTAGTTTTTAAAAAGTAGCACAAAAGCAAAATGTAAACTTTTAAAGTTTTGTTAACAAACTCCCTGATGTTGTTTGGATCTGTGTCCTCACCCAAATCTCATGTTGAATTGTAATCTTCAATGTCGGCGGTGGGGCCTGATGGGAGGTAATTGGATCGTGAGGGGTGGATCCTTTATGAATGGTTTAACCCCATTCATTTGGTGCTGTTTTGTGATAGAGTTCTCATAAGATCTGGCTGTTTAAAAGTGTGTGGCGCCTCCCTGTTCTCTCTTCCTTCTGCTCCCGCCATGTAAGACGCCTGCTCCCACTTTGCCTTCCACCATGAGTAAAAGCTCCCTGAGGCCTTCCCAGAAGCAGATGCCACCATGCTTCCTGTACAGCCTGCAGAACCATGAGCCAATTAAACCTCTTGTCTTTGTAAATTACCCAGTCTCAGGCATTTCTGTATAGTAATGTGAGAACAGACTAATACACCCCTAAACCCCCGTATGCCCCAGTGAAAAAGGCAAAGAAATTGGGTGTCATTGATTCACAGCAGATTCCTTCCACCTTGTGTGGAGGAGAAACTTTTTTTTTTTTTTTTAGGCGGAATCTCGCTCTGTATTCCAGGCTGGAGTGCAGTGGCGCGATCTAGGCTCACTACAAGCTCCACCTCCTGGGTTCACGCCATTCTCCTGCCTCAGCCTCCCGAGTGGCTGGGACTACAGGCGCCCGCCACCACGCCCAGCTAATTTTTTGTATTTTTTAGTAGGAACTTTTGACTTTCCTCAAGGAAGAATAAATGTTTAGAGTACCAGAGAGATTTAGAAGGGGATTGCTCACAATCTTGACTATGTGAGGTACTGTATAACATACACTTATATACATCAAAAGGCTTAGCCAAATTCTGGAGGCAGTATTTCTTAGCAGTTATTTGAACAACAGGCTTTGGAGCCAATCAGGTTTGGTATATAATCCAGATTCTGTTTCTCATTTATTTTGTTCTTTGGAGTGTGTTACTTAAATTCTCCTACCTTCTTTTTATTTGAAACTGTAACCTGAAACTTTCAGGTGTGTTGTAACAATCAAATGAGGTTTTATGTGTAAAGAAACTCTAACACTGCTTAGTATTTGTATAAAGTCTAAACTTCTTGATATGGCCCACGAGTCACTGTCTCTCTGATATCATCTCCTCCCATTCTTTTCGTAACTTACGGTCAAACTTATTCTACTACGAGCATTTTTAGCTTCTTCCTGCCTGGAGAACTTTACACCAGCTGCTCCATCTGCCTGAGACATTCTTCTCCCAAAATTCACAAGACATACTCCTTTATCACTCTTCAGTCTCTGCTCAGACATCACTTCTGCCTAAAATAAAATGGTCCTCATCACTCACCCAGAATTCTTCTGCGCCCTGACTTTGCTTTATTTTTCTTTCCTATAGATGTTATTGCTCCCTGAAATTATGCTGTTTGTTTGTCTGTCCTTTTTCTGTCTCCTCATTGAATGTTAAGTTTTCTGACATTAGGAACATTGTTTTGTTCCCTATCATATCTCCAGTGCCACAACTGTACTTTTCCAAAGTGAGCACTCAACATTTGTTAGTTGAAACTTTATCATCCCTGAAACAAAGTTTTGATATATTTCGGTATCAAGTTGTAAAAATTGTAAGTCTTTCATACAGACAATTATAAGATAAATTAACATCAATTACTAAACTCCTACCACATATTTAGCACCGTGGTAAGAGCTCTAAAGAATGGGAAACACATATAACAAGAAGTTCAAGCACAGAACAATTGAGATGATATAAAATAAATATAGTTTATTACCATATGCAAGACTCTAGACTTTTTCACTTAAATTACTAATAAAAGGAACTATGGAATATAGAGAACAAATGGAAAGAAGAAAAGCATAAAAACCCCCCCACAACCATGACACCTTGGTATCTTACTTTTATTGATTTTTTTTCAGGTGTTTGTATTTATAAGAATAAACGAAAACTTTAACAAGTAATTCCATAATTTCAGTGGCTTAACTTTCAACAATTTACAGTCGAATGAGGGACTCTGTTCTACACAGTCATTCAGTGACAAAGTTTCTTTACATCTTGAGGCTCTGTCATCTTCTATATGCTTAGATTCCTCTCAATTCAGCCAGTAGGTGAGTAAAGAAAGTGAGGACTGCATGTTCTATATAGGTCAGACATGGAACTGCTGTATACCAGTACAGGCTCCAGAATATTCTATTTATTCTGGAACCCAGTCATGTGGCAATACCTAAAGCAAGGAACCTGGAAACTACAGTCTTGCTGTGAGACTAAGAAAAGGTTATCATGGATTTCCTGAGCAAAACAGTCTCTATTACAGCACTAAAAAAATAGATAGTTGTAATATTATTTAATAATATTATTTAGTAGAAATCATAAATCTGGAGATACAGTTTAACAGAGACATTTCTGTTACATTGGGAATAACCGCACCAAATCACCAGTTTATTTCAATAATAAATTTAAAAACTTACAATTGTGTTTTAATTTTTATCCTGGTACCACTATGAAAGCCATTACCATGCTATATACTTTCCTAAAATTCATTTTGGTAGTCATTTAAAACATTTGTGACTCTGAGGTACAAATCGTTACAACTTTTGTGATAACAGTGCATCATAGCTGGCGATAGTCTTGTAGGTTCATCTATCACCTTTTATAATATTACTGTCATGGGATCCTTGGGGTGTTGCTTTGCCAACTGGAAACCTCTGTGGCTGGCAGTGCTTTCTGCCTGAGTATTGTTCACACCTGCTGGGCTCCTTCTGCCCACTCAGCCCGGCAGGCTGCAGTTGGCTCATGCTTCTGGTCCAGATCCCACACCTGCCAAGGGCAAGCAGGCACAAAGTGGTGAGGGGTGTGTGGGTGAGGCAGTGGAGGTCCTGCCACTACACACAACCAGGCACACTAGTGACTGCAATGGGGTGGGCAGTTCCAGGTGCCAGCACAGGTGCCAGCTCCATTCAAGGCTGTGGCTGGACTAGAGGTACTGCATGCAGCTTCTGCTGTGGGCACCCACATCTGGATGAGGGGAATGCAGTAGTGCCTGGAAACTTGGAGATGCCAGGAACCACAAAGCCCCAAAGGGGGTGTCAAAACCCTTACCTGAAGAGCCCCTAAGGTCTGGGATCCCTAAAGGGCTACAGCTCTTCTCTTCTCTCCTTATCATCTGCAGCCTGTCCCACATCCAGGAAGAATAAGTTCTGCAGACAACTGGAGGGTGAGCAAGGCAGAGAGGAGCTTCATTGAGGAACAGAACAGCTCTCAGGAGACCTGAAGTGGGTAGCTTCTTTCCACAGGCAGGTTGTCCCAAAGAGTGTCCAGCTCTGAGCACACAGGAGACCTCTAGTCAGTAGCTTCTAGCACCTTTCCACAGGCAGTTGGTCCTGATGAGTCAAGGAAACCCAAAGTAGGTAACTCCTTCCCCCAGCTGGTAGTCCTGATCTCTGTCCAAGTCTGGCTAAGTCTGGGGTTTTTATAGGCTCAGAAGGGAGAAAATGCATGCTGATTGGTTCCTGGGCAGCTATGGGCAGCCCGGAAAAAGCACCATAAGCTCTCACTCCAGTCCATGAAACTGGCAGTCTGGCCACTTGGCTTCAGGTCATTCCTGGCTTGAAGGTGGGGTTTGACTAGGGACTTGCCCCTTTCTGCCCAGGAGCCTGCCTGCCTCCTGTTGCCATCAACCTGCCATCCATGATGCACATGGCACCCAGGCTGTTTGTGGTGAGGGGCACCTGTAGGCCCACGCTGAGCTGCCCTCAGCACCCCCTCAGCCTTCCTCCCATGCTTATCAGTGCCCAAAGTCCAGAGGGGTCCCAGGTGGAAGGGGGCTGGCATGTCAGCACTGCCCTAAGCACAGGTACACCTGGTCAGATCATGATAGCACCTGGACTGACCTCAATTTTGCTCCAAAATTGGAGTGGGTGCCAAGAGCAGGGAGAGGCCAGAGAGTGGAAGCAGGCACTATTGAGCCTGAGGGGATGGGGGCCTTTCTGGGTCCCTGGGAGTACACAGATGCCCAGTCTGCAGCTGTGGCTGGGTGGCTGCAGCTGCAGCTGGGAGGGCAGGGTTCTCGCCCCAACAATTCAGTTGTTTCTGGCCTGCCAGCTCCACTGAGTATGCAGCCCTGGCCCACACCTCCCCTGCTGCAGCTGGTGTTCCTGTAGCGGCTTCTTCAGATGGACCACCTGCTGTCATTACTCATCCTATTTTGAGCATTTATTTTCATTCATAGCACAGTTAAGGTGAACTACATCTTAGGACATTTTTTTCAAAATGTTTATAACATATTTTCTGAACCCTTGCCTATCTGATGATAGTTTTCTATTGCTTTCACATAGGAAAAACTAGTTTGTGAAAAAACCCTTGCCTATCTGATGATAGTTTTCTATTGCTTTCACATAGGAAAAACTAGTTTGTGAAAAAAAAATGCTTATATCTCAACATTTCTCCTTGAAAAAGTATAATTATGGCAGAAAAATGAAAATCCAGCCTGTTTTTTGTTTCTTCTTGCTGTCTTATATTTTTACCCAAATAACATGCAAATTCTTTTTTATTAGTATTGCCAAGAATTTGCTGAGGTTTTCCAGTTTCATAAGTAAACATTTTTCAGCTCCACAAAATTTTCTGTAATTATGTTATTTCTTCTCTTCCTGTTATTTTGATTTCTTGTCCAGAAGAAAAGCCCAGAATCCTTATATTAGATGTGTATCTTCTGTCCTCTATATCTTTTATATTTTCTTTCATCACTTTCATCTATTTGTTTTATTTTATATTCTTGGAAAACTTCTCAAGTTGATTTAATTCCTGTTTTCATGAAACTATGGGAAATAAAATCATGAAAGGAGCAATGAAAATACAATGGAAGGAAAATTAATATAACTACATAAAATATTTTGTGAAACCACAATTGCAAGAATATTTAATTCTTCCTGAAGTATAGATCTGGGAAGATATCAGGCAGGAGGTACATGTGGCATACCGCTGGAGAGACAAGTATGTTTCCGTCAGTTGAACAAGTCAGCAAATGTTATTTTAGGCAGAAAAAAATAATGTATTTAAGGACATCATGTGTCATTACAAAATGTGCTGTTTTCAGGGGCCAGAGAGATGTTCTGGGGGACTGAATCTTAAACTCTCATGAGAGGAGTAGTGGTAGAAAGCTGATGTGGTTTGAGGCCAGATGGTGATCCTTGTGATATACAGGTGGGTTAGAGTAAGGCAGTGGATAAAAGGAACAGAGGAGAGAAGGAAGCCTCTACCATTCTAGCTTGGAAGAATGGCTAGATTATTTTTACATTTATTAAGAGAAATAAAGATAAAGGTGCATATTTGCTAGAAGATAACCAGCACAATTTAAAAATACGATATTTGAATGTCTATAAGGTTTTTGGATCACACTGTCAGTATGTGTTTATTACTATGAGCCTTGAACTAAGAAGAGATATTAGGATTCTGTGGAGATTTGAAAAGATATAAGGGAGTTACATTTCAGTGCTTGAGATTTCCCAGAGTAAGTATCTACAATGGAAAAAGAACTGGTATTGGACCACTTGGGAATACTTCTCTGTAATTTTCAAAAAAGTAAATATAATGAATGAGAAAGTGGTCAGTGGTACCAAATTATTCAGAGTGATCCAATAAGATTAATAATTTAAAATTGCCATTTTCCCGACTTGAAAATTAGAGGTGATTGAGACCAGGATGAGATCAGCTGCAGCTGAGTGATGTTTGGGGAAGCCAGAAGCCAGAGTGCATTGGGCAGAGCAGTGAAGACAAGGTGACAAAGGTGAGGCAATGAAGGTCTTGCTTAGCAATAATGAAGCGCATTGCATCTTTCCTGATTCACAACTACAAACATTTAGCATTTTTACTGTCACGAAAGTGTTTGCATAAGGGCAACTTTGCTGCCCATAAGGGAATTAGGCTGCCAATTTCCTCCTGCCTGAATATCATGTTATAAATAAAGCTATAATAGAGAAGAGAAGCACAAAGGTATGCATTACTCTGGAGTGCCTGAAATTTTGGAAAAGCATATATAATATATCTCTCTGTAATATTATATATATATGTGTGTGTGTGTATATATATATATTAGGTCTTCTTGTTGAATTGACCCTTTATTATTATATAACGGCCTTCTTTGTCTTTTTATGTTTATTGTTTTAAAGTTTGTTTTGTCTGAAATTAGAATAGCAGTTCCAGCTTTTTCTGTTTTCCATTTCCTTCGTATATTTTTGTCCATCTCTTTCTTTGAGCTTATGAATGCCACTGCATGTGAGATGGGTCTCTTGAAGGCAACAAACCATTGGATTTTGCTTCTTTATCCAACTTGCCACACTGTGCCTTTTAACTGGGGCTAGCCCATTCAAGGTTTGTATTGATATATGAAGACTAGATTCTGTCATTGTATTATTATTAATAATAATATTAATAGCTGGTTATTATGTAGACCTGTTTGTGTGGTTACTATACAGTTTCACTGGTTTATGTTTTTAAGTGTGCTATTGTAATGGTTGGTAATGGTCTTTCCTTTCTATATTTAGTACTTCATTTAGTTCTTCCTTCAGGACATCTTTTAAAGCAGATCTAGTGGTAATAACTTTCCTTAGCATTTGCTTGTCTGAAAGGGATCATATTGTTGCTTCACTTATGAAGCTTAGTTTCAATGCATATGAAATTATTTGTTGGAAATTATTTTATTTAAGATATAATTTAAGAATGCACAATATAGACCCCCAATCTCTTCTGGTTTATAGGGTTTCTGCCAATAGACCTGCCATTTGCCTGCTGGGGTTACCTTTGTAGGTGACCTGCCCCGTTTAGCTGCCTTTAATATTTTTTATTTCATTTTGACCTTGGAGGATCTGATGACTATGTGTCTTGGAGGTGATCTTCTTGTGTAGTGTTTTTCAGGGGTTCTCTGCATTTCCTGAATTTTAATGTTAGCCTTTCTAGTGAGATTGAGGAAATTTTCATGGATGATATCTTAATAATATCTTAAATATGTTTTCCAAGTTGCTTGTTTTCTCTCCCTCTTTCAGAGACACTAATGAGTCATAGATTTAGTCTCTTTAGATAATCCCATGTTCCTCAGATTTTTTTTTCCTTTTTCTTTACTTTTTTTTCTTCATTTTTGCCTCAGTGAGTTATTTTTGAGACCCAGTGTTTGATCTCTCAGATTCTTGCCTCAGCTTGGTCAATTCTGCTATTAATTCTTGTGATTATATTCTGAAATCTTTGGAGTAAGTTTTTCAGCTCTATCAGATCAGGTTGGTTCTTTCTTAAAATGATAATTTTGTCTTTCGTCTCCTGTATCATTTTATTTTTATTCCTTAGAATCCTTGGATTGGGTTTCAACTTTCTCCTGAATCTCGATGATCTTCATTCCTATTCATATTTCCAATTCTATTTCTGTCCTTCCAGTCCCTTTAGCCTGGTTAAGAACCATTGCTGGGAAACCAGTACAGTTATTTAAAGGTAAGAAGACATTCTGGCATTTTGAGTTGCCAGAGTTCTTGTGCTGGTTCTTTCTCATCTTTGTGGGCTGATGTTATTTTTTGAAGTTGTTGTCCTTTGGATGGGTTCTTTTTTTTTTTTTTTTTTTTTTTTTTTTTTCCCTTTTAACCTCTTTTATGTTGTTGGGGGTTTGACTGTGTTATAAGGTGAGTTGGTTGACTGGGTTTGTTTATGGAATGGTTTAGGGGGCTAAGCCCCAGCTCAGGATTCCTGGGCTGCAGGCTTTAACTCTGGGGAGCTGGTATTGGGCCCCTGGCTTTGTTCTCTGTCCCCTTGAGGTTAGGGAGCTACCGTACTGTAGAGGCTGAGGTGTTCCCAGACCACTGGTCACAACACTGATGGGTGGTGCCAGCCAAAGTGCATCACTGGGTGATGGTAGTGGGATCTGTGATCATTTGCAAGTACCACCAACAGCAGCAGCATGGCAGGGTGTACCCTTGTTGACTGAGGTGTGGCATTGGCAGGCACATTGGTGCTGGCCTCCATCAGGGTGTTTGCAGTGGTGGTGGTGACAAACTGGCATGGGAGTGGGATGTGGGGTTTCTGGCATCCATGGGTATGTTTGTACCAGCAGTGGTGGTGGCACGGGGGCAGAGCACTGGCAGGTGTGGGGCTGGCACCCTCCATGCATGTGTTCATACCAGGCAGCCACTGGTTTTGACACTTGGGATACTGCTGTGAACAAGACAGAAGAAAGTTTCTGCCTCTGTAACAGGAATCCCTAGTTGGTCATTTTGGGCTGTTTCCAATTTTACACATTGTAACTATGAATCTTTCATGTGCCTATAATTATTTCTTAGTTATATATTCCTAGAAATGCTTGTATTTTATCAAACAGTACAAACATTTGTCAGGCTTTCGGACAAATATGCCAAATTACCTTCCAAAAGGTTTACATTTATATCACACACCACAAATGAACAGCGTGACTATTTCAACAGTCCCTGACAAACAGTATCCTCCTTTCTCCTTCCACTAAGACAATGAAATCAATCCTTGACTAAGCTACCAAAATAAGAGTACACAGGTTTAATTCAGATGTGCAACCAAAAATAAGCTCTTGTTTTCAGCCTCAGTACATTTATATTTAATGTAGGAAATTTAAATATACTCTTAATCATTATTTCTAAAACAGTATATCTAAAAACTTTAGATAGTCGTTATATACAAAGATTTCATTTAAAAACAGTGCAACTGCAATAATAATAATAAGAAGAAAACAAAATCTCTTGGGCAAAATTAAGTCATTCTCATATGTTGGGGAAACTAGAAACCTGGCTGCCTTATGCAAGCAGTGATTCATTAATACTAATTGGTGCTTTTTTTTTTCCATGCAAGAGAGAAAATTGTTCTAGATCCTAATCATTCCTTATTACAGTAACAGCAGGCTGTATTTAATCTGCTACTCAACTTTTCAGTTACAGAATCAGCTAACCAATAATTAAAAGACATTTAGGTCTTAGAGGGAAAGAAAAACAAATCCTAATGACAAACAGATAGCAGAAATTGCCAACCATGCTTCCCTCACCTTGGGTGCTCCCACTTCTGCAATCCTGCTGTCAACTTCACTCAATTCTTTCCAGGGAAATGGAAAAACTGTTCCTTCTCCACTCTAAGATTAAAGAATAAGAATGAGCATGTGACATTCACAATTACACAAATGTCTAAATATGTTAGGATGGAATTATAATTTTCTCTTTATATTTAATGTTGTGTCTTTGAATATAAAGTTAATACCTATTTTTGTGAGAATTTTGAAAAATATAAAATATGTATGAAGAAGTAAAAAGCTTTGCTGCAGAGAGGTATACACTATTAATAGTAAGTATACTGTGTTTTCTTTCACTCTTTTTTCTATATTTACATACTTTTTTTTTTTTTTTTTTTTTTTTTTTTATGGAGTTTTGCTCTTGTTTGCCCAGGCTGCAGTGCAATGGCACGATCTTGGCTCACCACAACCTCCGCCTCCCGGTTCAAGCGATTCTCCCGCTTCAGCCTCCTAAGTAGCTGGGATTACAGGCATGCGCCACTGTTCCCAGCTAATTTTGAGTTTTTAGTAGAGACGGAGTTTCTCCATGTCGGTCAGGCTGGTCTCGAACTCCTGACCTCAGGTGATCCGCCTGCCTCTGCCTCCCAAAGTGCTGGGATTACAGGTGTGAGCCACCATGCCCGGCCCATACTTTTGTATTAAACGTATACATACAATTTTGTTAATGATTAGAAAATTGAGGCAAGACTGTGAGTTGAAAAGCACTCAGGTTCTACAGTTGGACTGCATGGGGAAAAATTCTGATTATGTCTCTTTTTACATGTGTGTCTTTGGGCCAGTCGCTTAACCTCTCTGAGCTTCTGTTTCCTCACCTGTAAACTGGTAGTAAAAATAGCAAATATCACATGAGGATATTTTACAGAATGAATAAGATAAATATCTGTCATGTAATAAACAATCAGCAGATGTCAGCTACAGTAAAGCTTTTTAATCTGATTTTTTCCAGTTGAACACATATCACCGTCATTGTCTCTGTAACTAAAAAATGTTGAGAACATCACTTTAAATAGGTCTATAATATCCTATTACATGGGTGTTCTGTCTTGAAAATTTCCCTTATTGGACATTTTAGATTTCATTTTTTCACTTCTATAAATAGTATTGTTGTGAACCTCCACTGATTATTATCTCTGATTATAAGGAGACTTATTATATTTTGAAATACTGAATTAAAAGGATTAAACTTTTAAAGCTCCTTGACACATATTACTCAAGTGACTTTCAAAAGTAAGTTCTCCTTCCCTCCAGTAAGCTGTACAGTCTCTGGTTTACCACATTTAACAATGCTGGTGATAATCATATGTCAACGTGTTTGATTGATTGGATATGTGAAAAATGTATTGTACTGATCATTCAATTAGAAATTACTTTATTATTAAAGAATCTACACATGTTAAATCACTTCAGAGTGTATTTCTATCACGTATTTTTTTGTGAATTGTGCAGTCATTCATGTTCCTTGCTCATTTTTCTGTTGTAGTGTTGTTTTATTGATTGTTCAGTGAGATTTATTAAGCAAGCATATTTCTATTTTCCAATTAAATACTACAAAATATTTTTAGTGCTTTTTGTCTTTAAACCCTTGATTTTGATCTTTTTTTTAGGTAGTGAGTTTTGGATTTTCAGGTAGTTAAAACTATTCTTTTTTTTCTTTCCTTTGTGGTTTTTTCCTGTTTTCCATGTTGCAATGGCCTTTTTCATCAAACTTATTTTAGCCACCTCTCAGAAACAACCAACACAATTCATCAGTGTCATGAAGAGTTGTTTCTCATGCAACAAATATAAAACAAGAAATTCTCATTTTCATACAAATAAAAAAGTATATATTTCCATTAGTAAGTTCATATTTGTCAAGACAGTTCCAGGATTTCTTTCATCTTGCTAGTACCTTCATGCTATTTACTAGTTATGGTGGCCAATTAGAGTAAACTATGTCAACTTCCAAATATGAATTTCTTTGTAGAATTTCTCCTTTGAAAATTTTTATAATAAAGAAAGACCCCAATTTGTTTTTCTAATAATGTTAGGGATGAAGTTGATAATGGTGTGTCTAAGAATAGTTCTTGAATAAAAGAATGGCCTAGATTAAAAACAAAAGTGCACTTGTTAGTGCCATAATAACTTTATGGAATGAGACATTGTAAATAACGTTGAGGCTCAGCAAGAGTTCAATGGTGAAAACAGCTGTGACTGACTTGTCAAGGTTATCCTGGGAATGTGAAGCAAGGGAGAGGCATGTGTGCCCAGTGGATAGCCTCTTATTGGTTCCTTTTAGAATCTATTCTATTTCTATAGTTTTATAAAGAAAAGTTGTTTTTGTTTTGTTTTATAATGAACTAATGCTTTTAAAAATCCTAGACAAAAACAGACAATCCAAAAGTTCCCATGAGCTATACTCTTCTCCAACCAGCACTGGGGTACTCAATATGTGGCTTTTTGAGACTAATACACTTCCCTAAGCCTCCTTCTGGATTAGTTTCAGGTCTTATTAAAATAAGGACTCCCTTACTTGAAGTGTTAACTTCTCTGTCAAAATGGCAAATGCAGTTTCTCAAATGAATTTTAGTAGCTGTTTACTGGGTTGTCAGATTACAGATCATATGTCAGAATGATGCTATGTGAGTCTAGACCACACTTAAAAAAAAAATTATAGACACATCCCTGGGTGAAGGAGTCAGAAAGGAATAGACTGGTGTTGGAAAATGCCTTGAAATCAAGTATGATACCCAGATGATGCTAAAACCATCTTTACAATATCTCCTTCAGGTAGTGATCTTGACCAGGCTTGAATACCACCAGATACTATAAGCTCTCATGCTATGAGAACTTGCATTTCTAAAACACCTGCCTTTACACAGAAACCCAGAAAAGGATTTTTTTTTCCTATTTAAAGATGGGAAAATTAGCTCAGAGTAGTTAAATGGCTGAACCAGTATTTGAAATCAAGTATGTACAACTTTTTAAACTGATGCTGTAACTCCCAGTGTTACCACCAACCTGAACCCCCAAATTTATGAAAGAATAAATTTCTTCTCTATTTGCTTAAGAACCTTGTTTAATGAATCAAAATTTATTTTACTGATTTGAATAAACTGAAAGATAAATCAATTATGCTTCATAAAAGGCAGTTTTTTTATTTTCAAACAGTTCAGGAAGTGTTTCTCCTTTACCCTCCAATATACTCATTTGACCTGTTAATATTGCTGCAAAATCAGTCTTAGCTTGCTTTAATGACTAGTCAAGACTAATATGAGTTGCTGTATTGATTGCCTATGTAAAATCTGCTAAAAGACTTGAGAAGTATTTTGAACTTTTAAATAAGTGAAGCATCTCTAAGTTGCCTCAATCTTATTCATTTATTGAATTAGCATGGAAAACTCTATGAAGACATGGAATAATTTAGTTCCTTAATGTTTCCACACAAACTAGAATTTAAATACTATTCATTCCATGTTAGCTGATAGGTGCATTCTATAATATGCCCACACGGTTTGTATGTAATTCTATACTTCCGAAAAACTATAGTTTGGCCCACAGCTAGATACTAGCAAAAGGAAACTGAGCAGTAAGGCTTGTAATGACCAGTTTGCTCATGAAACTCCCTTTTTGTAGTTATCAAATGAAGATTTCCTAACAAGTGATTTAGAGCAACATTTGCCAAGTTTAGAACCTACTCAAACCTTGTTGATTTCAAGTTCTGGCCCAAACTGTAGTCATTGGTTTTGTTGGCAAAATGGAACTTTCTGTTTCTTAGAAAATCAGCAGTAAAAATCTTCTTGGACATTTAAATTACTTTACAAAACATTTTGATGAGTTAAGTATAAATGAAATAGAAACATAAGGCTTACATTTCCCTTAAACACACAAGAGATTGTAAATAAAGGGAAAATGTTCATGAAAACATGTTTGGGAATATGCTAAAACTTTGAAAAATACTTATGGACATTTGATGAGCCCAAGTGCAGCTGGATCTTGCTCAGCCATGACTTTTTTTTAAAGATAATGGATTATAAAGAAAAACATATATTAATAATTCACGTAAGAGATGATAGCAATGGAAGAAAAAATCCCTCTGCATTACTTATCCAGATGGAAAAATTCTGACAAACTTGAAAAAATAAAACATGAGAAAACGGAAAGTTTTATCTCTCACATAACACAGTTGCTTTTCCTGCAAAACACAACAGAATTACAAAATCCAGATGATTAAAACTGTGGAGGAATAACTGAGTATCAGGTATGGCTGTCAAATTGAATTGGTTTCTATTCTCAAACTGATCTAAAAACTAGAACTTTTCACATTGATATACATGGGAGATTATATACATATGCATACACGTAGAGAGGGAGAGAAAGAGTGAGAATCTAGAATTTAAAATCTTTAAAGAAAATACAATTAAAAACACTTAAAATGTCCACTGGGTGCAGTGACAAGTCTGTTATAGAGGAGGCTGAGTCAGGAGGATTGTTGGAGCCTAGGAGTTGGAGTCCAACCTGGGCAACATATTGATGCCCCTATCTCTAAAATAATAAAAATAATAAAATAAAATAGAAATTAAAAACCCTCTTAATCTGTACCTGTGTAAGAAAATCTGATGTTTGGACCTCTCCCGAATGTCTTCTTACTTGAATCAGTGCAAGGTTCATGCTTTCAAATACCTGTAGACTTGATAAGTTACAATGAAAACTTTGATGAAAAGCCTTTGGTGATTCTTAAATCAGGATTGAAAGTCCTGGGATTTCAGTAACCTGTTCTTTGGGAAACTCTTAAAGGACATTCAACAAATTAACATTCCCAAATATCATGTACATAGAGCAAGTTCAAATTTCCTCCCTGAAATAAACCACAGCTTAGTTGAAACTAATATAGCTCATTCACTCTTATATTCACTCATTTAATACATAATTATTTGCACCCACTACTGGTGCTAGTCACTATATTGGCTAGCCACTAAAAAAAATACACAGTATGATCTCTGTGGTACAATAAAAAATATATATTTGGTCTTTGTTTCTAGTTCTTGGCACAGAGCTTCTAAACCACTTGGAATTTTCTGGGTGATAAAAGTGTCTTCTGTTATTCATAGTGAGCCTGTTTTTAACATACCTGAGCTTAGGCTAACAAGGTGACTCGCAGTGGGGTCTTTGACAGTTTCCAGGGAGAAACTGGCCACTCCAGAAATAATGCCAAGCACTTGAATATAGAGTTGAAACTTTTAGCACCACTTTCTGGCCTCCGGGAAAGAGAAGGGGGCTGGTGATTGATTTCAAATCCCATGGCCAGTGATTTAGCCAATCATGCCTATGTAACAAACATCCAGATAAAACTCTGAAACAAGTAAGTTCAGGAAACTTCTGGGTTGGTAAAAATAATGATGCTCTAGGAAGGTGGTATGCCTACAGAAGACATGGAAGCTGTGTATCCCCTTTACTTCCTCAACAAATATCTTGCCCCATCTGTATCTTCCATTTAGTTATACGATACAGTGCTTTCGGTGACTTCTGTAAGTTCTGTGAGTGATTCTAGAAAATCATCAAAAGCGAAGGTAGGTCATGGGATCCCTTGAATATGGTCAGAATGACAAGTAACCTAAAGATGCTGGACTTGCTGCTAGTATTTGAAGTGAGGACAGTCTTATGGTGGACTGAGCCCCTTAACTTGTGGAGTCTGTGCTGACTCCAGGTAGTTGGTGTTAGAAATGAATAGAATTGTTGGACACTCAGCCTGTATAAGAAAATTGCTGTTGAACATACCCTCAAGAGCTTCCAGCTTAGTAAAGGTGACAGACACATTCCTTGAGGAAGAGAAAACTACAAACCAGTCTCACATGTGAATATCAATTTGAAAATCTTAAATGAAATATCAGCAAACAACTAGCAGCACATCAAGAATCCCACATTCTATTTAAGAAGGGTTCACTCCAGGAAAGCAACGGTGATATTAACTAAGGAAATTCATTAATGCAATCAATTTTATTAGCAGAGACAAGGATAAAGATCATATGATATATTCGTAAATGTGAACAGACATTTAACAAAAATTCAATACACATTCATGTTAAAAAAATTCAATCATATATATTAATGCAATATATATTTTACATTTCATTGTAAAATGAGTTTAACATGAATATTCATTAATGTTAAAAGGGCATATAGTTCGATTATATATCTTTTTTTAACATGCTGAGTCAATTTGTGTGTATACATATATTATGTATGTATGCACATATGTAGATATATGCACAACTAATATATATCAATAACAAAGAAAATTACCAGTCATGGAAAAAGGTACAAAACTACAACAATTTAATGAGGATACACATCAATACATCAAATGGATCCAGAAAAAAAATTTTGTTAAATTTGTAAATTAATTTAGGAAGAATTTTTGTCTTTATGATGTTGAGTATTACCATGCAAGAATATATTTAACCTTTCTATTTCTTCAAGCCTACTTTGTGCCATTCAGTGTGTCTTATGTAAATGTATGTATTTATGTATTTTTCAACCACAAGACCAACATCTTCCTTAATAGACAGACATTGGATTTTTTTCCAATAATGTCAAAGAAAATAAGGATGCTCTTTATTTTTCCTTTTATTTAATATTGTATAGATGTAATAGCCAATGCAAATAGCCAAAAGAAAGTAAAGGCAAAAAGTTAGAAAAAGGTAAAATTATCTCTACTTGCAGATAATATGATAGCATATATAGAAAAACCTGAAAGTATGAATTCAATACTAACATAAGCAAAATAATATAGTAAAATAAGGAGTTATGAAATTATAAAAATTAATAGTCTTCAATATATTAAAACCATTAAAGAAGATATAATGGAAGAAATGCTCCATTCGCTCTTGTCACCCAGGCTGGAGTGCAATGGCACGATCTTGGCTCACCGCAACCTCCACCTCCCCGGTTCAAGTGATTCTCCTGCCTCAGGCTTCTGAGTAGCTGGGATTACAGGCATGCGCCACCACGCCCGACTAATTTTGTATTTTTAGTAGAGGTGGCATTTCTCCATATTGGTCAGGGTGGTCTTCCTAATTTACAAATTTAATGAAATATTTTTTCTCTATCAGTTTGATTTATTGATGTTTATCTTCATTAAATGTTGTAATTTTGTGCCTTTTCCCATGACTGGTAGTTTTTTTGTATTCATATATATTAGGTGTGAATATTTTGGGGGTACACATGATATTTTTATACTTATATAGGATGTGTAATTATCAAATTAGGGTAATTGGGATATTGTTGTCTCAAATATTTACTTTAGTTTTGGGAACACTACAAATCTCTTCTTGCTAGTTTGAAATATACAGCAAATTGCTGTTAACACAATCTTAAACATACCACTGGGCTTATTTTTCCCCTTTGGGGCTAGACAAATAAACTATGAAGTTCATTAGAGCGAATAAAAAAGCAAGAATAGCTAGGAAATCCCAGAAAAATAAAAGCGAGAAATGAAGAATAACTTAACCAGATATTAAAGCATATCACAAAGCCTTTATGGTTAAAATAGTGCAGTATCAGTACATAAATACACAGACCATTGTAACAGAAAAAACAATACATTGATCCACTTATGCAATCAAGAAAGGCATTATTGCAAACCACTGATGACAAGGTGTATTATATATATGATATATATAACTGGATAGCATAAGAGAAAGAAAATTAGATTCTTTTTTTTTAAAGAAGGGAAGCACGCTTTATTTGTAGTGAACAATAATTCTAATTGAGTTGAATTATATTACTGTTGATCTTAGAAACTATAAAGGCTTTACATATTTCTCAGATGCATAATGTAATCTGTAAGATGATTACTATATGGAGAAAGAAAAGGATGAAAGAAACCAAAATTGGAAATGGTGTATGATAAAGGAAACTAGAAGTGAGTATATTCCCACTAATTTTGAAATTAGAATAAAAAAATTAACTTCAGTTTGTTTAGCATAAGAGCATTTGCATTGCAGGTTTTTTTGATATGTAAGATAATGCCTGCAAAGTTCTAGTATTGTGCTCAATAAAAGTAATATTACTGTTGGATTTCATATCCCCTGAAATTCCCAAAATGATATGTATATATAACTCCTAACAGATTATATATACATGTATTTAAATTTTTATTTTTAAAAATCAATTTACTCCAGATAGTGAGATCCTGTTATAATTTATTTTCACTTTTATATAAACTTTTTATTTTGTAATACATTGGAACTTATAGAAGCATTGTGAAGATAGGACAGAGGGTTCAATGTACTCCACATGCCATTCCCCTAATTATTAACATCTTATGTTAGAATGGTAGATTTGTTACAATTAACAAACCAATATTAATATATTTTTATTAACTAAAGTCTGCATTTTATTCAGCTTTCTTTAATTTTTACCTAGTATTCTTCCTTCTTTTCCAACATCCCATATAGGATGCCACATTACATTTAGACAGTTATCGTGTCTCTTTAGGCTTCTAGAGTGTTTCAGACTTACCTTGTTTTTGATGACCTTGATAGTTTTGAGAAGGCATTTGAAGAATGTCCCTCAATCAAGATTTAAATTGTTTTTCTCATGCTGTGACTGAGGCTATGTGATTTGTCAGGAATGATTAAAAAGCTAAAGTATATCTTTTAATTACATCATATAAAGTGTATATGCTAATGTGAATTATCACTGTTAATGTTAATCTTGACCACCTGGCTGATGTAAAGTTTGCGTTTTCCACTGTAAAGTTAACATTTTTCCCCCTTTCCATACTAGACTATTCAGGAGAAAGTATCTACGTACAGCCCATACTGTACGTAGGAGTGGGGAGTTAAGCTCCACCTCCTTGAGGTCACAGTAACTACTTTATATAAATTATTTGGACTTATTCTGCATAGCAGGTTTGTTTAATCTCCTTATTAATAATTAAATAATTTAAAAAATAATTAAAATAATGCCTTATTTTTCAATTATGTATTCATATTAGTATAGACTCATAGATATTTATCTTATACTTTTGTTGATAATTCAATACTCTTTCATTTATTTCATTGCTTCAATTGTTCCTCCATTGGAGCTCTTTCAATTGGCTTCTGTGGTCCATTGACATATCTACATCATTGTGGGATTTTCTTTTGTTTAGCACTTTTTTGTTTTCTGGCAATACAAAATGCTACAGGCTTACCTTGCATATTTTTCTTCCCCAGTTCTATGAATAACCAATGTAAATGAATCACCAATGTAAACAGTAAAATGACTTTTTCCAAAAAAATTTCCTTTTTACTGGAAAATGTTATTAAAAAACAAGATCTGGGTACTAGGTGGTATGCTTATCTCTACTGGGGTGTCATTGCTTCTAAGTCCTCTTAGCTGAAAAAGTAAGAGAAACGTGTATACCAACCCATATATATTTCTTCTTTTTTTTGAGACAGAGTCCCACTCTGTCACCAGGTTGGAGTGCAGTGGTGGAATCTCAGCTCACTGCAACCTCCGCCTCCTTGGTTCAAGCAATTCTCCTGAGTTAGCCTCCCGAGTAGCTAGGACTACAGGCACGGGCCACAACGTCCAGCTATTTTTTGTATTTTTAGTAGAGATGGAGTTTCACCATGTTGGCCAGGATGGTCTCGATCTCTTGACCTCGTGATCCACCTGCCTCAGCCTCCCAAAGTGCTGAGA